ACGAATACTAATATTAATTCCAACACCGGCACGAATCCCAATACTATTGCTACGTCATACTTACGACGACGACGACGACGACTACTACTACTACTACTACTACTACTACTACTACTACTACTACTACTATCACTGCTTCTACTCGTACTGCTGAGGCCGACAACTTGCCGCACACACGCACCGACACATGCATAGTCTTTCTTCAGAACTTCCATTGGTGCTGAGCCCAAGTATGAGACCCCTGCGTTTTTGTTAAGTGACTCCTTGCGTTTTGTTAAAGCCAGGGAGGGCCCAAGTAAAGCCAGCCAACATCCGAGTTCAGCCCTGGATCCCAAATGCTCCGGCCTCAGGCAAGTCTCGATTTCGGGGGCACCCTCCAGAGCCTGAGGACGCACAATGTGTGGAGGTAGCCTTCTTGGTTTGCGGCTAAACTACTAAAGCGGCGCATACCCGAACTGAGAAACTGCGAAGCCCCCTTCTTGCAAAATCATGCCTCGACAGTATGCACAAGCTCAGGTTTTGGGGAAATTCATGGCTTTGTTTCTGCTGATGAGGCAACAACACCAACAACGGCAAACAGCAACAGAGTGACAGCAGCAGCAAGACAGCAACCGCAACAGCAGCAGCAGCAGCAACACAGCAACAGCATCAGCAGCAACACCAACAGCAACAACAGCACCAGGAATAACAAAAAGAGCAATACCGCGAGCAGAGCAACAGCAATAACAATAGCAGGGTTCATAGCAAGAACAAGAGCAAGATGAAGAGCAAGAGCAAGAGCAAGAAGAAGAAAAACAACAACAACAACAACAACAACAACAACAACAACAACAACAACAACAACAGCAGCAGCAACAACAGCAGCAACACCAGCAGCCACAGCAACAGCAACAGCGACGGCAACGGCAATGGCAACGGCAACGGCAACGGCAACGGCAACAACCACCACAACGGTAGCAACAACCGCAACCACAGCAACAACAGCCAAATCGTCAACGGCAACAGCAAGACTGACAACATCAAAAGCCACCACAACAGCTACAACAGCGACATCAACACCAACAGCAACAACAACAACAGCGGCAACAACAACAACAACCACCCCCTCGACGACAGCAACAAAAACAACAACAGCGACAACAACAACAACAACAACAGCAACAACAACAACAACGACAGCAACAGCAACAACAGCAACAGCTAGTGTGACAACATCAACAGCAACAGCGACAGTTACAATATCAACAGCAACAGCAACAACTTTCACATCCACATCGGCAAGTGCAACAATCACAACTGCTTCGCGAAAGATATAGACAAGCCGTCTTGCAGAGGTTTTCAGACTGACAGACTGCAAGCATCACATGCTTGCGGCGACCTGAACCTCTGTAGTAGCACTGCCCGATTACACTTCTTCTGTTCAGTTTCTGTGTGTTATGAGTGTGTAAGTGAAGTATTTCCTGAAGCAGAACAGCATCTGGTCAAGAAAGCCGCAAAAAGAGCGTAGTAGGTAAGCTTTGTTGTTTTTTTTTGTCCCTCTCTCTTTCTCTCCTTGCTGGCCTCATCCCGCTGTTCCTCCAGGATGAGACTAGACGGTGCCACTGCACTCTTGTCCATGGCTGTGTCTGTCAGTTAGAAAATGAAGTTCAGCTCTTCAGGTTAACAAGGGTAATCACTCCTGATGGGGCGGACATCATCTTCTGTTGGGCCCTAATCCGTGGGCCACGAGGTCGTGCAGGTTTTTCGGTTCCAGCTCGTGGGTCGGCTCTTTCGGCAGGAGCCTGATCCCAGCTATCCCTGACTCGGTTGCCGGATACTTGGCCGTGGTTGCCGGCACCCGAGAGGGCTCTTGGGCTATGCGGAGAGATCTCTCAACACTTCGGGTCTGGGGCTTCGTTTGGTTTAGGGTAGGAGAAGGTGAAGATATAAAGTCAGTTTGTGCTGTGTGCCACTGTTCGTTCTGAGGTGAGTCAGGGTTGGTCACTTGCGAATGTAACTGCAACTGTCACCCACCGAAGCTTCTGTGCAGGTCAAACACACTGATGTGACAGTGACTTTGGCATCGTGAAAGATCATGACGATCCTTTTCTGAAAGACAGGAGGACGTGAGTTCTCATTGAGGGGTGCTTAGCTAGAGTATCAACGCGCGACTTTACAGCATTTCTCCGTCCATGTGTGCTGTTAGTTGGGAAGTCAGGCGATAGGGACACGCTTTCAGCCGCTGCGAAGTATCTCTTGATTTTCGGATTCTGGCGGCTCCGCTCTTAGTTTTCAGTCGGAGGTCTTACAGATGTTACCTGTAGTTTCTATGTTTATTGAATAAGTTTCATCCGGATGCAATGAAGATTTGAAGAGTATTAGCGGCAGTATTGCCGACAATAGTACTGGGAAACACAGTTCGATACCCTAGCTGTCTTTCGGGCAAGTCTTTGGGAGAAGCCTGCCTGTTGCAAAGACTTGAACTGCAATCAAGAGAGCCAACATAGCTCGAAGGATCCTGAAGTTTCACCACTTCGGTTGATGATATAAATCCTGCATTACCTTAAGGACCCTAAACTATGGGGATTATGGTATATTCCTTATGATGGGCAATGCAGGATTTATATCATCAACCGTTGCGATACATTGCGCACCCTGTACGGACAGTGACCTGTGCCGTCAAGCGATGGTGTACAGCGTTCGCACAGCAAGCGTATTTGGCCTGTGCCAGCTTGAAAAACCAAGGCCATCAGGCAATTTTCACTCGTTTCTTGAGCAGGCCGAAGTAAGTCGGTTAAAATGCATAGTGCCGTAACTTTGTTCTATGCTTCTTCAGTTGTCCTTCCCGTTGCACGACCGCTCAAGTCTCGGGCTCAGCATTTACTGGTACTTTCGGTATGTCTCGCAGATGCTGTTCGGGAAAGGCTCGGGGCAGATCCTCGTGAGATCTAAGTGCAACTGTCTCCATCTGGTAGATGAACCCTAAACCCTAAACCCTGCTGTGAACCGAGCCGGAACCGGATGTCTGTCAGTTTCAAGAGCCGGCTAACCTTGCATAATTCATGTGGGAGTTTCCAGAAAAATTAGGGGTACCTTATTTTTGGGTCCTTATACGTAATAAGGATCCCACTATTTAGGGCAGTATATTGGGGTCCCCTCTTTTCGGAAACCTCCATGTACCCGGAATGGAGAAGTCGCTTCCTGAGCGTTCCTCTGCCAAATTGACTATATAGATTTTCAGTACCAAAGGAGAGCGGGAAGTTCTGGTAGAATGTGGTTCATGACATGGTGACCATGTTTTCGGCCGAAATGATGCGGTAACACGATGGTGTTCTTACAAATGGGCTTATAGGTCAGTAACGCCGGGAGGCGCGCACGACGGTTCCACTGCTCCACCGTGCACCGTTTCGTCTCAAAAACAGGATCTCATCATGTATTATATAGTATATATTCTATATTATGTGATATATGATATATATATATATATATATATATATATATGTTCTATACTCTATATTAATTACATACTTCATGACATAATAAAACTTGCTACAGTCGTGCTCGGACCGGGCCCTCCATCTCAAGGCTCCTGGGGCCTTAGAGTGCTCTCGACAGATGCGCTCCCCGCCACGTGGGGTGAGTTTTTTTTGTGGGGGTGCAACTCCTTTCCGACACAGTCCCGTGTGCTTCCCTCCCGAAGTTGTGCTCACACCGAGGTGCTCGGCTTGTTGGAAATGTGACCTAAACCCTAAACCGCCTCTCCAATTAAGTGGTGCTCCCTCGCTTTTCCCCCCTTGCGGGAGTCTTGCCCCTGCTGCAGTAGCGTGCGTGTTTTGGGATGCACTTGCGCTCATACGGCTGATGGACAAAATCCTGCATGACCCATAATAAGGAATATATGGAAATTATGGTACATTCCTTATTAATTATGGGTTATGCAGGATTTTGTCCATCAGCCGTACCACAATGTGCTGCGCACTTGGGACTCATTGGGCGTCTTCGGAGCCAGCGTTGATCATCCCGGAACGGTTTGTCACTATATGACTATATTATGTACCGTACTGAGCTGCTGCTGACGATCAGGCGTACTGCTGGTTCGTTTAAGCTTTGAGTTTCACAAGCATAATGCCGACCTCTTTCCGCAGGAATTGCACTGGGGATCCTAATGTCGAGGCCTTGAAACAAAGGGGGCTGAGTAATCAGGGTTATAAATCAGGAATGCCCCTTATAGGAGTCCTTGTACGCCGTTGGGGAGGATCGTAATGTCTAGGACAGAAGCCGGAGTAATTAGCAATCCTATTCCGTAGATTTCCCTAGGGGAACCCTTCGGAATAGTATTCATTGCTAAGCTTATGCCAATTGTGATACCATATTATTGTAACATACCCCAATGCTTCATTCCTATTCCAACTGTCAAAGCGCCCATAGTAAGTTGCTGTTCCTCGTTCGCCTGCGAACATCCTGGAACCCGAAGCGACGGAAACCCCGGGAGCCGATTTTTCCAATTCACGTTGTGCAGAAACCCGTTTTGCGAGTCTTTTGGAGGGCCCAAGAAAAGGATGTGGCTGTCGTGTCCTGGGTGGAAGTCTACATTCGACCGTTTCGGATCTCAGGGGTTGCAGTCCCGGGATTGACATTGACGAACAAATTCGGAGCGGAGTGGTTTGGCGGGTTTCTGTCCTAAACCCTAAACCCTAAACCCTAAACCCTAAACCCTAAACCCTAAACCCTAAACCCTAAGCTATGGTGAAGGCTTTACCGTTTAGGGCTTCGGATCTTGGGTTTTTGGCTGGTTCCTGGATTCGGAAACCTCAATTCTGAGACCCGGCACAGTCCCGCGCCAGAGGTTCAGTTTCTGGCACCGAGATAGGAACAGGAATAGTATTCGCAGTAAGAATGCAAATGCCACTAGCACTAGTACTCGTAGCCGTAAAAGTATTCGTAGTGATAATGAAAATACCGCTAGTACTAGTACTTGCAACCGTAGTAATTAGCAATAGCAACCAAAACCAAAAGCCGAGGTCTCTCCTGAATGCGATGCTGGAGGTGGGACGTCACACCTCCAAAATAAAATCGGGGCCTTAATAAATAGCAATACTATTTTGGGGGTTCCTTATTATGTTGAAAGGTCGCTATACCCCAAAACCCTATTCTCATCAATAGTAAGGCCTCTGCAGAGTCCACCGTCGACACGTCTGCCCTTCCTGCTGCTGTTTTTCGTAGCAGAGCCCGCGTTATTCCGACCAGTGAGCTGTTCGTATGTTCATCACCTGTCCATGTCCACCCTTACTCTTAGTCCGAAGTGCAAAACTCGCATCCCAGTACTTGCGCTGTCCATGTAGCCCCGAAATACCGATCCTTCATTCAGGAAGAAGAAGACCCCCGGCACAAAGTTCTCAACCCAATGGCACATGAACTCAGAAACGCGAGCTGCGAGCTTCCGAAGTTGAGACCCTGTCTGCTGCTAGGTCTTACAATCACAAAAAGTATACTGACAATACGAATACTAGTATTGATACCAATTGCGATAGTAATCTTGATAAGATACCGTATTCTGTTCTTGTTCTGTACTTGTAGAAATCCAACAAGTCCTTCGAATGTACGTGTGAGACAGTGTCAAACCCGTGCCAGACTCGGAGCTCTCAGCTTGAAGCCCGAGGGTGCCCTAACCTAAACCCCTCAACCCGACTTAAACACCCGAAGGGCGCAAACCCCCCATCCCCCGACAACCCCCCTTTGAAGCTCCCAGCCCTTCCAGTCCAGGCCGTAGAGACACCGTATTCTCTGGTGATCCTCAGCGGGGCCTTGCCTTCTTCCCTGAAGGACTGGCGCTGTTTAATTGCTAGTTTGCTATTATCTTCTAGGGGTACTACAATATACACCAAGACCCTATTCTAAATTATTAGGGCCACTGTTTTAGCAAAGTTGAAGCTTTTGGGGTCTTGGGGTTAGCCTTAGCCATCAGGGAGGAGGGCTTTCAGGCTTTTGAATAAGTTTCGGTACCGGATTTCAGGGCTGTGGATTTCGTCTCTGGACTGGATGCTGATAATGTCGGGGCCTAATATTGAGAGGGTTTTGGGGGATCCTGAGTATGAACTATAGTACTTGGTATAAATATAGTAGAAGATGCCCGCAAACCTTATTCTACCAAACCCCATTCTAATTATTCAGGCCCCTACATTAGCCTCGCTCTAATTTGGTTTGTTTCTGTCGCGGGTGTGGAGTTTTGGGGCTCGGGCTGCACAAGGGGTACTGCGGGTCAAAGCTGCCGCCAACATGTTGCATCGAAGCGTTGAAAGGCCAGAAGTTTCCTGTATTGCGCACACCATATCCTGCAACACAGCCGGTAGAGACGGTGCGCTGGGAAGCAAAGTCTGAAATTATAAGTTGCTGAACAAGAACTTGGACCACTGCCTTGAACCTGCCGGACGCTTTTCAGTTTCTCTCTCGCTCGTATACCAGACATGTCTTCTGGACGTCTAGAATGAGGACAGGGAACAGCGCCGGGCAGAATGAGCCGGGAAAGCTGGACTCAATTGTATTCAGTTCCCACTGACTGTGGCTTTGGAGTTTTGAGGTGGTTTTGAGGTGGCCCGTTACTGGATATATTACAGTGTTGCAGTCAGTTCTTGCTCTCTTCTTCTGCAAAACTGTCTGGATCGAGGCTTTCCCTGAACCCTAAATGAACCCTAGGGTTTAGGGTTTATACAGCCAGCTTTTCGTCTCAATGTGGTAGACAGGCTTGCTGTGGTCCCCCGAAAGGGAGCCAGCAGCGAGGCCGTAAACCAAAAGTAGGCGCCTCGACCCCCATACTTACCTTCGGTTAGTAGGGAATGGAGGAACGGGGTACAATTAAAACTACTATCACTACCAGTCTTCCAGTCCTTACTAACCACAGGTAAGCATACCTACAGCCCCTGCGCAGACCCCCTTTGGAGGATCTAGAAAGTAGATCCCCTAATTTGGGATCTGCTTTCTGGGGTCTGGGTATGCCCTACCTCGAGAAATCCCAAGGTCCCCAACCTTTAGACCCCTAAACTCCAGAGCCCTAAACGACCCTTATGGTAACCCACCCTTGTCAGGTTTTGGGGCCCATTATGCTCTAACTATAACCAGGCCCCCCCCCCCCCCCGCCAAAATGGACAAGGTAGTTGTGAAGGCCCCCATAGTCACAGTCATACCCTAAACCCTGAACCCTGAACCCCTAAATCCTAAACCCTAAACCCTAAACCCTAAGCCTTAAACCCTAAACCCTAAACCCTAAACCCTAAACCCTAACCGTAGTCCATAACCCCAAGTCTCCGTCTAATTCTGCCGGTGCAGGATGTGCAGACTCTGCGGCGAGTCCTGGAGAGTCGTCAGGCTGGGCCCAGAGACTCCAATATCCCTTAAAGGAAGGAGTAGCTAGGGTTCCTTTAAGGGATCTATAGGCTTTAGGGGGCTCCAATATCCCTTAAAGGAAGGAGTAGCTAGGGTTCCTTTAAGGGATCTATAGGGTTAAGGGTTTAGGGGACTCCAATACCCCTTAAGTAAGGAGTATTGCTTAAAGCATAGTATCATAGGAGGCCAAAAGGGGCTTTAGCCTATCGGGGTTTAGTGGGGGTTGGGTTCCCATGATAGGAAATAATATCAAGCCAAGAATCTTAAAGCTTGCTCCATCTTCGTCATCGGCACCAGCTCATGATTTTCCCACCTTCGGCAATGCTGTCAAAACGAGCAACCATCATCACCTGCAGCTCTAAACCGTCGTATTCCATCCGTTGCAAGGTGCCAAAAGCCGTCGCCCAGCATTGAAAGCGTCCAGAACTGAATGCTGAACTCCCTTTAGCCCTAAACCCGAAACCCCAATGCGGGTGTGTCGTGTTGCGAAGGTGTTGGCCGCTTCGGGGCCCGTCTTGAGATGCTCGGCGGCATCGTTCTGGTTGTCCTATAAAATGTAATGTAGCCTGATTTAGCAACCCTGGTCCTCTAGCCGCAAATATTAGGGTTCACACGAAGAGCCCGGATGAAGACCCAGGGTTTACCAACTGGGTTCCTATATTCTGAAAGGGCCAGAACTTCTTGCACGTCTGCTTGCTGCTGAATTATTTTGGTGGATGTCCGGGCCTGTTCATGTCTGCGTGCTTTGACGTTTCGGCCTTTTTTCCCCTTCTCTTGACATTGCTAATGACTTACATATTTCACTTGCTGAATTCCTTGCTTCGTCTTATGGCCGCTTCCGCTGTCTCGGTCATGCTGCTGCTGGTTATCAAGTTCACGACGATGGCAAGCTGACCATTAGTTGCAGATGCTTTTCAATGAGGCCGATGCGTGTTCTTTATGACACTTCCGTAGCGTTGCAAAAGCAGGACACGGCCGAGCTTCAAGACGCGAACCTTTTTCGACCTAGAGCCCTAGACTATCATCCTGAAGCCACCTCGAGAACCGGAGCTTCAAGCCCAGCTACTGTAGCAGTGTGGCAGTCAATCTTGTCTCGGCCGGAGACCCAGAGACTCCAGTACCCCTCAATGAAGGACTATACTTTAAATCGTAACAGGGATCTTGCTATAATTCAAGGCATACTCCTTAATTAAGATTGGGGTCTCCGGAGAGCCCGGTGACCCCTGAGATTTGGTCCTGCTTGCCAAGGTGCAGACAAGGCCCGAGCCGGTCGCGCAGTCTTGAGCTATAGACGTTGGGCTTAGGGTGTAGGGCCGTTTTGCTTTAGGGCTTTAGGGGTTTAGGATTTTAGGGGTTCAGGGTTTCAGGGGTTTAGGGGTTGAGGGGGTTAGGGGCTAGGCCCTCTTAGGGGTTGAGGGTTTAGGGTTGCCCGGAGAGCTCAACGAGAGCTCCACTTGACTGGCTATTCTCGCTGTCTGGATGCCGCATTTGGGAGGTTTTACGGTTTAGGGTTGATAGGGTTATAGTTACTCTACAGTGCAGTACCGAACCCCAGCAACTGCACAAGGGAAACTTCAAGGAAAAGACATAACATAACAAATCCTAAGTTGCATGTTAAGTCCCACAATACCTGCAGCGTTATAACCCCAACCAGCTGCCCAACCAGCTGGTGAGAAGGTCTATTCCGACTTCTGCTATCGGCTTGATTTGAGGCCTAGCCTGTCGGGCCTGTGCGGGTGGGGTGTTCAGGGGTCACTGCTGGGGTTTGGGTTTAACTAAGGTTTCAAGTTGTTGGTGCTGCTGGGCTTTTGAAATTTCGAAGCAACTTAAGACCCTACAACCAAAGGTTAGTTGAGGGTTGAAGTCTTGGCTCGGACTCGGCACAGCGGCTGTTGCTACTGACTGTCCCTTCACTGATGTCCTTCCTGTATAGTGTTCGTTTTCTGGGTTGCGCCTTCCATCTGTGTTTCAGCTGGAGCTTGAGGGTTTGTGGTGAATGTTGGGGGCTTCAGGTTTCGGTGATATGATTAGTGGTGTCTGCCATACCACATCCTAGCTTGGAATAGATTGGTCCCACCTGGGTCTGGCGCAAGTGGAATGCTCGAAGAATAAGGTTGTTGTGTTTCTCCTACCTTCGCGGTCATGTGCAAGTTATTCCGCGTCTGTGGTAATAGTGTCACAAGATCACATATGGCCATGAATATACGCACACTTGCGTACATGCAATGCATGCGCGCAGGTGTAAGCTCAGGCATGTACGCATGTATGTAACATAGGTACGTAGGTATGTCTGTAGGCACGGTAGGTCGGTCGGTAGGTAGGTATGTACGTTTGTATGTATGCATGTATGTATGATGTATGTATGTATGTATGTATGTATGTATGTATGTATGTATGTATGTAACTATGTATGTATGTATGTATGTATGTATGTATGTATGTATGTATGTATGTATGTATGTATGTGTGCATGTATGTACGTTTGTATGTACGCATGTAAGCGTGTGTTTATGAAAAACTTATACCGGGACTCATGTGCGTACCCGGGGATGCGCTTTGCGGCAGAATAGACCAGGTGCAAACGGGCAGCTGATCCAAAGCCGGAAACCCCAACCCCACCCCCTCCCCGAGTCATGGTGTATGGCCTGGCTCAAGTAGCATGCGGCAGAAGGTTTTATCGGGGCCTGTTGCGTTAGCCTTCCATCCTGAACGCCAAGTTAGAGCCTTAAAGCGCAGAACCCGAAATCCTTATAAGCCCTGATCCTCCAAACCCTGAAGCCGATCTGCAAAAGGCACTATCACCTCCGCTTTCGAAGTGAGTATGAGCATAGCCGGGCACTTGGGAGCCAGAAAGCCTCAGTCCCAGGATCGCCTCACTTGGTTTTGGACTCGTTTTGCTTGCAGGCTGAATCCTTGAATTGAAGCGTTGCTGCAGGTGTCATCTTTGATGAGGCATCTGCTTCCTCGATCAGGCGTTGGCTCAAAGCCCCAGCCCCCGAGCATTGAGAGGTTTTGAGGTTATTTAGGGTTCAGGGTATCCTTCACCAATCCCGCCAGTGATGCACAGTGGCATTGAAATTAAGGCGGCACAACAGCCAAAGGCCAGCAACAGCACGACGTCAACGCCGATTCATGCAAATCACGGCAATGCTGCGCGCCAGGGGCAACTGGTTTCACGAAGAAGAGGCAGACCTTCGGCTCGCAAAGCACCGAATCCTGAAAGCGAGTGTGCTCGCATGCATGTTGCCTTAGCCAAGGAGACGAAAGACGGACCCTGCAAGCTCTGTGATACGCTGCCGCGCTGCCTGCAGGAGTTTGCGGTATGCATACAGCATGTTGAAGGTCTGTACTTAGTTAGACGGCGGGATGTACCTGTAGGGGTTCAGGTTTAGGTCGTTTTTCATGGCCTCGGCTGTTACTCTTACTGTTGGTGGTGTGCATAACTTTGTCGTTGACGCCCTGTGCCAGGCCAACGTTTCTGGCGCACACCGAAGCACTTCGCCGTGGACTTAATGTTTTGTGTCGCCGCAGAAGCAGAGCTTGCCATCTTCACCGAAGTCTCCATCTTTGGCAATTACGGGAGGAGCTGTAGCCAGAGATCCCACGTACACGAGGGCGGTGTGCGCGTTGCAGCAGAGAGCCGGAGAGGGGGGCTGTACTCAGGCGCCATCTCCTTCCACCCGGCACTGGATGGAGAGCCCGATCCCAAGGTTTTCGGAGTTTATACGGTTGAGAGCTCAAGGTTAACTGCGGGATGCCGTGCACCACGGGCAGTGACCACAGGGCTTATAGGGTTTACCCATAGGCCCTTGCCATAGGCAAAGGAGGAGTTCCCTTTAACCACAAGAAAGAACTGACTACTATGGGGCCTTAGTGTTTAGGGTCATAGGGTTTTGGGGTTTGACGGCAATCTTCCCAGGTGGGCTCTCTTGGACTTTGCGATGCGGGCGACACGCACGCCCCTGGTCGAGGCTTCAGCTGCAACCCTAAACCCGAGCCCTGCTTCCCAGATCTTACACAAAGGCGCCCCGACCGAAAGCCCCTGTCCCTCAAGCAGGATTATGCTAAAGATAGGAATCCGAGAAGGAGGACCTTTACAGAAAAAGCAGTTCGTGAATCCGGGGTGTACATTCGTCTACAGTATACGTGGGGTTTCTGCTAGACGTCCTCCGTTGGACATGCAACCGAAGGGTCCATATAACCATATAGTATATATACTTGGGCCTTAAAGTACCTATATGGGAGTTTCCGAAATTAGGGGTACCTTATATGGGGGTTCTTACAATAAGGATCCTAGTGTTTAGGGTATGATATTAGGGTCCCCCCCCCTTTTTGGAAACCCCCATATAGGGATCCCTTTAAGGCTTATGGTATCTACTATAAAGGCACATGGAGGTTTTGTTGGAGGGGCAGGGGACTTAGTAAGTACAGTTATAAGTAGAGTTATTACCCTAAGTGGAGTAGCCCTACTTATAAACGACTTACTAAGTCCCCTGCCCCTCCAAGTTGGGCAAGGTGAAGCCGCAGGGCGCGACAGCCGCGACTCAGCTGCTTGGGCCTCGATACTAAAGTGCAGGGCTGCTTGGGGAAGCACTCGTTAGGGACCTCAAAAGCACATAAGCACCAGCATTTTATGGGGATATATCCCTACCTAATTAGGCTTCCCTTTAAAGGGTTTTTTTGTGGGATATCCCTTTCCTCAGTTTTGCTTACGTGCTTTTTTGGGGCCCTAACTAGCTGCCTAAACTCTATAGATCCCTTAATTACGGATCCCTTTAAGGGAACCTTTAAGGAACCCTGAACCCTAAACACCAACTAGCTCTTGCTCCCCAGGGCATAGGGGAGTCGAGAGTAGATTTATGGCGTATGAGGGACCCTGAACCTGAACAAAGGAGGCCGTCCTTTGAAGAATCGAAGCCTTCAAGGATCCTTCAGTTAAGGATTCTTGAAGGCTTCGATTCTTCAAAGGACCTTTAAAAGGCACCCGCAGAGGAAGCCTTAAAGGGAACACTTATAGTTTTAGTACTCTTCAGGGATCCTTGCAGTGCCCTTTTAAAGAGACCCGAAGTCCTAACCCCTAAACCCCTAAACCCTAAACCCTAAACCCAAGCCCCTAAACCCCTAGACCGCTAGTTTAAACCCTAAACCCCTAAACCGTATAAACCAAAAACCCTTTCAAAGAGACGTTGAGTAACCCGAACCCGAGGCCAGGATGGAGGCACCGCAGCAGCCGCTTCGCGCTTTGCCCCTTTGCTTCGGTGCAAGAGCTGCCAGAGATGGCTGGGTCGGGGCCTTTGGCGTTTTGGCTTAAGGTTTAGGGTTATATAAGGGTTTTGGGTTTGGGGGCGGGGCCTTTGGCGTTTTGTTTTTGGGTTGAGGCGTTTAGGGTTTATCTTTGTCAGGGTGCCTTTGGGGATTTACTTGGGGCTTTTGTTGCCGTGTCTGGAGCGTTATATGGGGGTTTTGACGGGGGCTTTATAGGGTTTTTCGCATCAGGGTTTTGTTGGGCCGGTTAGGGGAGTTTGAGGGTCTTCGCGGTTCATTGTTTGAGGTGTGTTCTGAAAGGTTTAGGGGTGTTTGTACATGCACCGTTGGACCTGCAGGCCTCCACGTTGGCCGAGGCTAAGGGCATTTCGGTTTCAGGGTGTTCGTGGCTTTAGGGCTTTTTTGGGATGAGTTTTTTTTTTTTTACCGGGTCTAGGGTTCTAACAACTTTTCATTTGTGTGACGCCGAAAACCGCGGTATATTTGACGGGAGTCGCTTCCGAAGCATTGTCTGCTAGATCAGAACCCACGGCCCAGTCGTTTTCAGTCGTCAGCTTTGTCTGGCGAGGGTAGGGAATTTGGGTAGCCTATCCCCTCCTACAGCCGAGAGCCCAGCGAAGCCTGTGTGGCAACCCTGCAGGGAGCGACCTTGAGAATCCCCTGAATCCGTAGCTATCAACCCACCTTCACGAAACTAGGATGCCCAGTAGTACCCTTATTCCCTTTTTGTAGTCCTAGGTTCCTTATAAAGTTACCCAATACCAAAAAGAGAGGCCTTTTTATTCTTAGGTTACTGGGTATCCTACGAAACTGTTCCCAATTTTCCCAGACCTTAAAGCCAGACCCCGAGGCCCCATCTTTATGCGCGCAGCGACGTGCCTGCCGAAGGGGTGGCTCTGGCATCGCCCTGGCTGCCGCCTCAACTTCCTACGGGAAAGTTCAGGGTTCAGTGTGTGTATAAATAAATAAATAAATATATATATATATATATATTATATTATATTATATTATATTATATGGATGGTCAACCCCCCCCCCCCCCAAGATCCGCACCCGCCTCTTCCACACAATTCCACAGGTTGTTTCTCTACATTGGTCAACAACTCATATATACCGAAAACACCGTAAATACCGGTACAATCGTGCTTTACCTCATGTGCATGCAAACCGTGCTGCTGCAAGGCGCGGGTTTGATATGTGTAAAAATCTGGCGCCGAATCTCGGCCGCGGATTTATGGAAGTTTATGTGTTGGAGAAGCTGAAATGCTGGAGGTCGTGCTAGTTTTGTTCATGTAATACTAAAAAACCTCGTGTTTTTGGATTTTATGGTATGTTATTTATCAACATTCCTCTAATAACAAAAATACTATTGTCTCTCTTACGAAGACGTCTGCCTGCGTGGGCCATCTCTTTCCCGCTGCTCGTGAAGCGTCCGGTTCTGATGCGGCCGAATCGCTCTAGCATTTGATGTATGAGTTACGAAATACAAAGAGCTCCTTTCATGTCGTGTCCGTTATACATGAAGGAAGTCGAATATACGGCCGCGTTTATTTTGGAAGCAATGCTCCAATAGTTGTTCTTTGCCTCATAAGAAATGGGGAAGCTCCCCTGGAGTTGAAAAGTTCATGTGCATATGCGGGCGCACAAGAAGGCTCGTCTGCAGCAAGAAGTAAGAGAGCTCTTGCAACCTTCCAAACATGAAGCAGGACCAATTACGACTGTTCTCCGGGGTATAGGACAGCATCAATAAGAGTTAACTGAATGAAAACTCATGTATCGTAGGAAACCGAATAGGAAGTCTCCATTGCTTCTGATGATAGCAAAATGCAAAAAGTTTCCTACAGTCTTCAATATGAAATGAAATAGGTTCCACATAGGCTTGCGATTATTACAGTGTTGGATTTGTAGGAGGTGCAGCTCGCCGAAGAAGGGCCAAAGCCATTTTCGAGAAAGCTCAAGTACTAGAGCCAGTGCCGCTGCCGCCATAGATCTACCAACCTATGAAAACATATATGAAATAGGCTATGTAACGACTAGGCTGGCCTTGTTCATACTTATCAAACCAGAGTAATGAAAACCTTTGCCGTTCCAGGAAACATATAAATAGTACTTCCAGTCCCTGACAACGGTTGAAAGCACACAATTATCTTGTGATACAGTATACCCGTATCTTATATCCTGTCTTGGACATCAGAAAACACTGTAACGCTCAAGAAATTCCAAAATTTCCAAACCTAAAACTAACGAAACACTGTAATGTTCAAAAAATACCAAAAATTCCAAAATTCTGGCATCTATGGCCAGGTCAGCGGCAGATTCCTTAAAAGTTTGGAATTTTTTGAGCATAGCAGTGTTTCGTGCGTTTCAAGGCTTGGAAATGTTGATTTTTTTTGAGCATTAGTGTTTTGTGAGATTTAAACCACGAAACACTGCTATGTTAAAAAAAATGATTTTTTTTAAGCATTACAGTGTTTTGTGAGTTTTAAACCACGAGACACTGCTATGCTCAAAAAAAGTGAGCTTTGAGGCTGTGAAAAGTGGATTTTTTGAGCATTGCAGCGTTGCAAAAAAATTGAGCCTTGAGTCTGTGGAAAACGAATTTTTTTTGAGCATTACAGTGTTTTGTGAGGTTCAGGCTACGAAACACTGTAATGCTAAAAAAAATTTAAACTTTTCAACCCTAAAGTTCACGAAACACTGTAATGCTCCAAAATTTCCAAAAATTCCAAAATTCTGGCATCTATGGCCAGGACGGTGGCAGATTCCTTAAAAGTTTGGAATTTTTCGAGCATAGCAGTGTTTCGTGCGTGACTTGGAAAAGTTGATTTTTTGTGAGCATTACAGTGTTTCGTGTCTTTATACACTGTAATGCTCAAAAAAACAAACTTTTCACAGCCTCAAACCTCACTTTTTTTTTGAGCATAGCAGTGTTTCGTGGTTTAAAACTCACTAAACACTGTAATGCTCAAAAAACTCAACCTTTCATTGCCTCACAGCTCACGAAACACTGCTATATTCAAAAAACTCCAAAGTTTTAAGGAATTTGCTCCCGTCCTGGCCATAGATGCCAGAACTTTGCAATTTTTGGAATTTTTTTTGTGATAATTGCAGAGTTTTTTGCATTTCAGGGTTGGAAATTTTGGAGTTTTTTGAGCATAGCAGTGTTTCGTGGTTTAAAACTCACAAAACACTGTAATGCTCAAAAAAATTAACTTTTCATTGCCTCACAGCTCACGAAACATTGCTATGCTCAAAAAATTCCGAAGTTTAAAGGAATTTGCTACCGGTCTGGCCATAGATGCCAGAATTTTGGAATTTGTGGAATTTTTGAGCATTACAGTGTTTCGTGAGTTTCAGGGTTTTAAATTGTGGAATGTTTTGAGCACTACAGTGTTTCGTGCGCCCCATGCCCCAAGAACCACGATGGCGTGGATCTTGGGGGGGGCCGGGCGAGCATATAATATAATATAATATAATATAATATCATATCATATCATATAATATCATATAATATCATATAATATCATATAATATCATATAATATCATATAATATCATATAATATCATATAATATCATATAATATCATGAAATATCATATAACATCATATAATATCATTTAATACCATTTAATATCATATAATATCATATAATATAATATAATATAGTATCATATAATATCATATAATATCATATAACATCATTTAATATCATTTAATATCATTTAATATCATTTAATATCATTTAATATCATTTAATATCATTTAATATCATATAATATCATATCATATCATATCATATCATATCATATAATACAATA